CATTGATCATGTATCAGGCTGAAGATTTTTTGTAGAGGAATTCAGTGAAAAAAACATTTTTCAGAATGGATTTTAGTAGTTGTGTTGTGACTGTTCATAGTCTTTTGCTTTGCTGTGAATTTTTAATATGATTGTGGTATTCTCTCAGTTTCTTTTCCACTAAAAAAACAGGTTTAATTTTATTACCAGTCCATTATTCCTTTGGAGTATTGTCACTTTACTTAGAAAATATTCATTTACTGGTACCATTGGGGTGTGCTACATACTTGTCTACAAACAGAAGTATTTTCCAGTTTTTGGCATCCATTCTCCTTTCGAACATGTCAGGAACTCCATGAACAGCGTCTTGAGTGGGATTCGAACTCATGATCACAGTGTCTAAGCACATGACACCCACGCCTCAGACCGCGCAGTCACTGTGACTGGCAGCCATGTACATTGCTGTATATAATATACGTCAGTTTATGTCCATGCAACTTCACGAGATTCAACATGTTTTCATCATACATAACCTTGCATACAAAGACTATGCTACTCGCTACAGCTAGATGGATGATGGTCGTCAGAAAGTCACCATCAATTCCACCTAACTTCTGCCGCTTACCGAGTGCTGCTAGGCATTTGTGACATGTCTAATTTATGTGGGCATTTACTTTGTTTCTTGTTCATTTTTATAACCTTACAAAATAGGTAAAATTGTTGATACATATCTAAAATTCCTCTTCTCAGGTTGGATATCTTTTTATTCAGGAAACATTTTAAACAGGATATAAATACATTATGCTTATGGTGATACTTTTGGCACCCAATGATTTTAACTTTTCAGGTGGGAAACCATTTTAAACAAAATCTTTTTAAGTGGGGACGACTGTAAATTCACCCCGCTAATGGTGTTGCCAACTGTAACATTAGTATTTAACCTAAACCTAAAGTGATAACCTTCTTTGTTACTGTTAATGAAAAAATGGTAACAATTACTCTTGGCTGGAGTTTAGACAGTGTTGTTATGCCTAAAAGCATGAAACAGGTTTGCACTGCCACTTTTGAAGACATCCGTTTGGTAATTTCTTCTTCTTCAACATAAACTAGGGTTAAGTCTTAAGACAGGTTCCTTTAAAGTTCAAGGTATTCTTGATCCTGTTTTGTAATTTAAATAATTTAATTAGGTTTCAGAATAACTTCCTTAATACTTCAGAAACACTGGAAACTATGCTTCCCTCCTTCAATAATGTTTACAACCCAACTGATGATTATGGAAGGTGAAAGTTGATTGTGTGAGTCATATATTGGGAACCAGCACTAGCAAGTTCATAAAATGGAAAATTGGCAACATAAGTAGCAAAGCATTCATTCATGAAGGAATGATACTTACTGAATTAATGCTTTGCTACACGTGTTGCCAAATATGTGATTCTTCTGTACCAATCACAAATCTGTATGTGGCTGGCAGCTTCTGTGATTGTCAGTTGAAAAATTGTGATCCATGGTTACTCTTGTATTTTATTCCTATTGAGTGTTTAAAGCTAGTTTTTAATTTATTTAATTCAACAAAGTAGATGAGTAGGTAAGTAAATGTAATTATGCTACTGTGAAGTTTGAGTTTATAGCCTATAATTTGCTAGATGATCCTTTTATTAAGGTGAGAATGATTAATAATGGCAAATAGTGTTGATTATCTATTTTATTCAACTTTATTGTAGAGAGTGCATAAAAAAGACATGCTATGCCATTAAACATAACAAAATGATATATGTCATGTTGCCAACCCAAAATAACTGTTACAAGAGTTTATAAGAAGAAAAACATGAATACTGTAGACACTAGCCTTTAATGGTATTGAAGCTATTTTCTCAATTCTGTCTTATCATTTCATACACAGATTACCGTAAATTACGTTTTGAACCAGATAGGTATACATATTAAAAGGTTAGAACCAGTGGCAGCCCGTCCATAAGAGCTGCAGCAGCCCCTATAATTTTTAAAAAATTGAAAAATTTATTTTTTGTGTTTATATAATTTCTAACACTTTATTTCCTCTATATCATTAATTTAATATTGCCCCTTACTTTGTCATTATCCACTAATCGGCTGAAATGACAGTAAGTCCACAGGCGAGGAGTTAAAGCAGAACGGCGATCATCCGGCTACAAGGATTTCAGCGCGGCTAGCAGGTCAAAAGTAGGGAGTGTGGGGGCAGTGAATTGAGGGGCAGTTCACTGGTACAGCGTGTATCGGCTGCAAGGTTCGCAACTCCATTTGCTTGTCACAAGTGGACAACGCGGTGAGAAGTGGAGTGAGGGGCAGTACATGTACAGAAATTTGGTACATGGCAGAATTATATTAAATTATGTAAGGTATTTGAGGTGAAGGCACCTCCTCGATTATAATAAACACTGTTTATTGGGTGAATTGTATGGTTTAGTGTATTATTTATTGTAATTATGCCTGTGCATTAAAGGTACATTCGGACATGCCTGTAATTATGATGCCGTTACAGGGCTTCGTCGTTTCCCCGTAGAAAATTTCAGGAGCATTAGAGGAATTATCACGCCGCCTGAGGCAATGCCACCACCGTAATTATTTTTCAAACGATTTGAATTGAACGCGCTTTGTTCGCACTGACATCTGTGGTGACGCCACACAAACAGTCAGGAGACGTTATGGCGGTCGTGCTGGTGTTGGTTGTGTATGGCTAAGAAAACTTTAGTTGTAGGTCAAATGTAAATACAATATGATTTTGTAATTTTAATTGAAAAGTAAAGTTAGGAAAGTGACTTTTAACGTATGAATAAGAAATTTACAAGGAAAACCATAGAAAATTCAGCATAGTTTATGTCTGGCTGCAATATTGCCATCTTGATATAAGAAGAAAGCAACTGTTTATACTTAACAGAAATGTTCAATTCAACTTAGGATGCATCTGTTTGTTTGTATCCTTAATTTTTTTGTTTCTGGATGCCATTGCGAGCATCTGTGAGGGAAGGTGTGAAGAAATGAAAGTGGCTGATTGCAGCTGTTGACCTAATTTGGATTGTTGCAGGCAGCGAATTTTTGGAGCCTTGCAGTTTTGAAGCACGACATGATGTCACGAACTATGCCTTTTGAAGCAGAAGGAGAAAATGGCCACAGATGATATTTGAGTGAGTCTCGGCGTCTGGAAACAGATTGGATATTCATGTTCCCTGCGAACAGCATCATTTTTAAACAAGTTCTATGCAAATTAGTTTGCCCCTTACAAAGGCAGTTAATGTATGTCGTCTGTTTTAATGCCAGTGAAGTAGGTGCATTTACATGTGGAGAGTTAACTTTAAGAAAGAAAACAAAATCCAGGCGGAAAACTACCTGATGGCCAACAGGAAGTCAGTAATTATGGTTATACAGGGAATGAACAATGTGGGAGACAGGGAAGGAAATGGTTCCCAAAGCGAAAAACACTTAAGATTTTATTGTAAGTGAACAATATTTGCTTCTTTGTAGACTTAAATTAAATTAGCCATTTATCATGAAAGTGACAAAAATGAGAAAAACTCTTTGGAATGTAGTTTATGTATCTTTCTAGTGGGAGAGAAATGAATTAAATCTTCTCTTGCAGTCTAATTCTGAAAATAGATGTGATTGTGCTCGAACACTTCGTACCAGCAGTGGCAAATCTCGTAGTGAGTGGCACCAAATTACGTTCAGGTGAGGGAAGAACGAGTGCCGATGATAATGAAGAGGCATCCGTTTTGCACTAATTTTTTTTTTCACACATCTGTTACCATAAAATATAAATGTTTGAGTTCTAAACTGCCTTGTTCATGGATCTAATACATTAGAGTCCTGATTATAAAATCTAAATAGAATGTAAGGATGATCAGATAATTAAAAATGTCAGATAATTCAGAAGACTGAAGAAAGAGATGACGGTAGCGCTGCTAATGCCACGTTCTCTCCAAAACCAATTATGAAGGCACTCTGAAGAAACTGCTTTCACAAAATGTAGAAGGGGCTTGGTCAGGGAGTGTGATTTATTCTGCTACGTGCTGAGTTGACGGCTGTTAAAATGAAGCATTCTGAGATGGTACGTTGATAAAATGGAAGGCCAGATAATTGGGACCCTACTGTATTAATAAGTAGACCCAGCGAGCAGTTTTAAGGTTTTAAGTAATGTTTCTAGATTTTTTTTTGAACTTAGGTAAATAAATAAAAAAAGTGTGGTTTACATTTCCAGCAGCGGGCTATCCTATCCGTATGGTTGGATTAGTGTTCAGGGTCCCACACTTTGACATTATGAAGCATGATATTTTTCATGCTGAGTGACAAATTAAGCATCCTAGAGATACAAAATAAACACAAAGCATATCAGTTTAATTGTAGTCATAGGATAGAGACAAGAGTACCTATACAGTGTAAACAGATACTGATCTTATGGAATGGACCCACATAAACTACTTTACCCGGGCCCTGTGCCCCTCTGGGAATTGCTCCTCCTATTGAAACATCTTGTGTGTAATAAATTTGGAAACACTGGCAGTAGTTACACAGTAGAATTACATTAAGAGACATAGGATGGCACTGCAAAACTGGCAGGGAGGTCAGAATTTCAGAAGAAACCTCTCAGTGCATGACCTGACAACTTGAAACTTCCCTCCCAGGTAATGTGACATTGCAAAGAGCACCACAATTTATATTCACACTCATTTGATGACTCTTGTACATACTCTCTTGACGATTGGAAGGTCTTTTAAACTGAGGTGCTTTCATGTCTGCTTTGCCAGGCTTCAGTCTGCATTAAGCACGCTGTTCCATACCATTAAAGCTTGTGATTTGTACTACAGGACACCACGTGGGATAACGTCAGGGCAAAGATGGTACTTCTGCCGTACTTCCTGATTATCGATGACAACATTGTCGATGATGATGTTGAAGACCAGTTTGGTGTGGATCCTCACCCTCAGTTACCAGGCACTCAGCCTCACAAGACTGATGATACTTTCAAGGTCAGTACAAGAATCTGCAAAATGTTAGTATTTGTTGTATGAGAATAAAGTTTGTTTCAGGTCATTCTATTACTTTTAGAAAAGGTGCTCTACCTGAAGGCCATGTTGCCTTCAAGTTACGTAATAATATAAATGTTGCTGTTCTAATTAGGCCTTGGCTGATATTTGTGCACTGTAACTCTGGTATGGTGCACAAAGTAAGATTCAACATTCACACTGCCTTATTTATTAAGTTGGCTCATGCATATAAATTATTGGCAAAATAATGGTCATGACTGTGAACTGTAGACTGATATCGGTAACATAATTGGTTGTTAACATCTTGAAGTTCAGTGTTTTCTAGAAGCTGAGTATTTACTCAGCTAGTCCAGACATTACCCACGTCTGAGATTTTGTGACATACGAGAACTTTTCCAGTGAGGCGCTTGTAGCACCCTACCTGCCCTCCATTATATCTGGACGTGGTCTCATTCCGCAGGTGACGGACCACTTAACATGTTGAAAATGTTTAAACGTACCTTTTAAGAAGGTAGCTGTTCTGTGGGTTGTAATGCCGTCATATGGTAGAAGATTGCAGACGTTTCAGAGGTGCAAGCTACCTCCATCATCAGGGAGATTATGATGGAGGCAGCAAGCACCTCTGAAATGTGGTTAAACTTCTGCCACATGATTGCATTACAGCCCACAAGAAAAACATCTCCATAATCATTGCTGCGAGGACCTGAAATTATACGTTAATTAATTTATGTTGATAATCTGGATAACGCTGAGGCAATTGAGGTCTGATGATGGCCACTGAGATAGGCTGTATTGAACATTCAGAGTCAAACACAGCACAGAGAGTTGTTTAATTTCCATGAGCTCGGTCTTTGTTTTACAGTGAAGGTACGATTTTATCATCATGTTTTCAGAGACATAACATTTGTGTTGTCTTGTAAACACTGCAGTAAGGATATTTCGGTACATTTTAATTTGCCTGCTTTGATGTGACTTCTGTAATATGTATTGCAGTTTCTCACTTGTTTCACCTCTGGACGAAATCCACGAGCAGCGCCCAACCACAGTGATAACAACCTCCATTGGTTTTTAACCTTATATCTGATATGCATCGCAAATTATAAAGTTAGGTAATGATGCTTTTTATTATTGCCTCACACAATCAGTGATATTTTATTACTTATGTTTGAAAAATTGACAAGAAACTAACAAACTACTTAGAAGATAAATGGCTACAGGCTTCAACCATATTGAAATGGATTATGTGTTGGCAAACGTAATTTTGCTTGTCTGTCACAGTAACATACATGAATGAACAAATTTATATGATGTTAAATATATTACATTTACACATTAAAGACACACTTAGGTCATATTTGCAACCTTGAATTTATTCCCGAAAGTGTAATTCCATCATGGCAGGCTGTATTCATCAACTGACAAAGTCCACAGCTCATGTGCTTTGTCTCCGAGTTCTCAGTGTGGGAGCCCGGGTTGAAACCCAAGGCAGTCCATATATGATTTATGGTGGTCAAAATAACACTGGGACACACTCATCTCAGAGATCTTTGGTTCACTCAAACACTAGATTATTATTGTCCGTTGCTCCGTATTATTTGTGGGCCGTAATTTCAGGTTTCTATTGGACGCATTTCCAGACAGCCAGTTGCCTCCCTTCACGATAATAACATGCAGAACGTTGCAATATTAAAATCAAAACATTACACAATTAAAATCAGTAATTTAAAATATTGAATGGTCTGTGGTTTGTATAAAATCTATTGTTGTCATGCGTAATGTAGTTCTGATGTTTCTCCCTTATCAATTCTAAAAGAAAACGTGGGACCAGCCTTGCATGGAGCATTAAATGTTTATTATTGTGGGGTGACCAGTTATTATTTATTATCATAATTTATGTTTAGTGTTTGCTTGTATGCTGTTGTTCCGCCGGCCCAGTGTGTGTTGTGATCATCAGCGGTGTACCGATGTTCTAGTTCTGTGTTGACTACAGTGGTATTCTGTGATAATGGGCCAGTTCCTGGTTTCCTGACTCGTGTTCTACCTTAATCCTATAAAATTGTTGCAGTAATCATTTGACAGTGCCCATAACAGAAATATTAACCAGCCATGTGGAGGGTCACACTAGTGCACTGATAAATGTAATTCTGCAAACCCTCCCTCACTGGGAGAGCTCGCAGTTCGAAAGCAGCCAGGAAGAAGTTGAGCAGTTTACCCAAAGTCTTATTAAGTGTTGTCAAAACTACAGTGAACTAAGGGAGTGAATAAAATACCAGGGAACAGCTGTGTTGCCACGTATATTTTGTTAGATTCTTGTTTTCCATTTTCTTTCTTGAAAGTCAGTTGTCATTGGTGTTTAGTATCTGGGGAGTGTTCGCACTGAAGCAATTGAAACTGAACCAAATCAGGTCACACCGGACTTTAAACTTCCTGGTAGTCCCACTGAACCAACTCTTGGTTGCTGAGTTCATCATTAAATTATATTCCAGATCGACTTTTCCTACTGAAGCAGGTCAAATGGCCACAGGTAAACAAGTAACCATCAACTGAAGTCAAGGTGTGACTGGCAGTGAGTTGAAAATGACTCTAGTTGCACGGCTTAACAGCAGGTTGCATCGAAGTCAAGTTGTGACTGTATTGCAAGGAACTGGATATTTCTGTTGATTGTGAAATGCCAAGCGCAAGAATAGTTGCTTCAGACTTGAGTTGAGTTGCCGTTATAATGTGAACACTCCATAGGAAGTGTGAAGGTTTTTGTTGAACAAACTGTTGCATGGAACTGACTGCTGGTGTTATTTTGTTTTTCTTCGTTTTGTGAACAGAATGCGAATTGAATGGTGCAAAAATCAAGTGACGCATTGGCTTCTACACCTAAACGTGAACCTCATGCTGCACCATTCAAAGACCAGGTGAGATATCTTGTTTAATTTTAGAAGCAACCTACTTACATCATCTGTTAACTAACTTTTCCACAATTCATAAGTGTCCAGACAGTGGAACTCTGTCGATGTTGATATTCTGAATTGTAACACCATGTATATGTACAAATGGATGCTTACACTTAAGAGAAATTACTGCCTACATCATCAGCCCTGATGATGGAGGATAGAAGCTTGAATAGGTCTACTTACATCATCTGTTAACTAACTTTTCCACAATTCATAAGTGTCCAGACAGTGGAACTCTGTCGATGTTGATATTCTGAATTGTAACACCATGTATATGTACAAATGGATGCTTACACTTAAGAGAAATTACTGCCTACATCATCAGCCCTGATGATGGAGGATAGAAGCTTGAATAGGTGGCACAGTAGTTTTTGGCTGGTGGAGAAGCTGGCAGATGGGCCTAGTCTGTGTACCTGTGGTGGCAAGGTCATTGTATTTCTTTTATTTGGGCGTTCAGTCTGATAAGCTCTTGGGTGCAGTCGGCATTATATTATCACACAAGTGACTCGCTCCTAGCCTTCCCCTTGAAAATTCCACCGGCCAAAAACTACTGCGTCAGCTATATCGCCCTACAAGTTTGCACAGCATTTTCTCCGAAAAGACTGGCATCAACATCTTCAAAATGCTGTGAGAACCTCAAATTTCACGTAGTTAAACTCTGTTCCACTAGGTTGTTGCTCTGTGTAGTCTGGTCGATGTTAACCAATGTTTCAGAGGTCATACTGTCTGCACAGCTCTTACTATATGTTCTGGAAAGCCTCTTTTTGCCATGATTTCCCACAGATTTTTCGTAATCGATAAATAATATGCACGTTGGTAAATTACTCTCCCGGCGTAAATCGATGGCTACCTGTAAATGAGATTTTAATATTGACCTTCCATTTAGTGTTACGATGCAGATATAAGATGGGCTATGAACTTTTATAAATGAAACTGTCGTGAAGGACACAGATGTCTGATATGAGTACCTGCACTCATGAATGCATTAACTCAAACATAAAGGTAATCACTAAGCAGGTTTATTTCATCATTTTGGCACTCAATGTTTTCTCAGTGTCTCTCAGTCTTTGCTCTGGAAATTTTACTTATAGAATAGGCTTCTGTTCACAGAATTTCTTGTTTCAGGTTACATAATTAATATAGAGTTTTGTGAATTAAGATACAATTTGACATAAATGTAGTTTATTTACTCAAATAATGAGAAATCTATTACTTTCCACTGTAAAGACTTGTGTTCGCATATTTTGTCCACACTGAATTTCTTAATGCGAGTTTTGAGTATTCTAATTTATAAAAGTGTGCATGAAGTATCTGGTGCTGTCTTCCATCACTAGTGCCGTAAGTTGTCCAGGTATTTACGACTGCCTCATACACTTGTAACTTACTTTATACAAAATTCTTATGTGTTCAAATAATAATAATAACTAGTGTGTCTGTTGCCCTAACAAAGAATGTGATTCTGAATTTGTCAGTAGTACCCTCTGCAGGCACTGATAATGACGACTCCTTGAAATCTCTGAAGATCATCCTGAGGATGCTGGTGGCGTTTAACACAGTGGCAGGAGTGGGAAACCCAGTATAAATGACAGCACCTCAAGTTGACAGGAAAACAGCGCATCAGTTCAGAAGACTGCAGAGGGCCAGTGAATTAACGTCAAAGAAAGTCTTCTTAATGGATGAAGACATCAGAGTGGTGAAGAAGAATCATCTTCAAGGCCTCTCCTGAAAGTGCTTGCAGGAACTCACAGTCGATCCATGGATTCTCCATCGCAGTAACGTATAACTGAACTTTACAGTGTGTAACTTTGGCTTAAGGAATAAGTGTAGATTGTTGAAGGTTTTCCAAAGTTTTGGCAAACACTTGTGCTGCTATAATCAGGGTGAATGTCTTTTGGAAAATTCGAAAGCTTCTTCTTGGGACACGATTAGAATAACTGAGGAATAATGAGCTATTCAATGTGGCCAGGTGCACTGCTACCTTCCAGTTGCTTATCTGTTGATCTGTGCTAATTGTTATGCACATCTGTGTACCAAGTTCCCACTTTCATGATTGTAGTATTTATTTTAACTTCTTCCAATGTTTCAGCATTACTTACTGTGGGAATTGTGGTCAGTTTTGTTTGGGCTGTAAACATTTATCTTTTTAATAGAAATGTTTGCACTTATTTCTCTAATCCTGTTCCAAGGATGAAATGTAAACTCGTTCTGATACTGCTTAACTTCATGAAAAAATTTATAGTAGTTCTGGGCTGAGAACTTCAAATATTTTTTCATTAAAGCCCCCACATAATCTGTCAAATATAACTCAATTTAATTATTTTAAAAATTGCAAGTCATGACAATGCAATTTGGCTTTCACAGTATAACTCGGTTTGTATCTGTGCAGGAACTACACTAACAAATTACTCAGCTTGGCCTACAAATCCATGCACTGACTTCCCTTACACACTGCCCTCTTATACCCATATACCAGCTCCAGTATCTTGTACATAAATTTCGTAACCTTTCCTTTGTCAGTACCATTCTTCTGCCCGAGAATCATATCTCAATATTTACACGTAATATCCCTAAATTTACTGTCCACAGACCAGGAGAAAATCCCTGCTAGGAATTCGATATATGCGCATGCGCAAGATTTCATGGTTAGTGACGAGTTGCTATTAGCCATCCTAAAAGCATTCGTTCCACAATCACAAACAACATACAATAGGCTTACATGTGTTCTGATGGGTATAACTTTAAGATTACCTAACAGTGGCACAGTGATTTAATCTATAATATTATAACAACATGCACAGAACACAGCACAGGTGCACTCATTACACGCTATTCTTAACTGCGTGATGTTTTCAGTCTGTGTAGTAGCGTAACTCTCTGGTGTGTCGCACTTCCCACCAATAGCAGCCCTCTAGTACACCTGATAGTAAACATTCCCCGCTGCTCCGTGCCAGGATCGACTTCACTCCGCGGGGATTTTCTCGTGGCCGGTGGACTGTTCCTTTAATCACAAGTTGTGGCCTGTTTTACTATTATCCTGCTGCTGAATGTCACAGGTTTGAAGGGCTGAAATTGCCATTAGGTCGCAGGTTTGTTCTTGGTAAGAGGGTTGTGCATTTCCTACAATTTGCCATTACTTTCTGGTCCTTTGTCATCTTAAATAGCACAGCTGTATTACAATGTTCTTGCTTCATAAATACTTGTTATATCCACCTCAACACCTTGGTACTCAACCCGTGGTCAGGGGGAGGGCAGTGCAAACGAATCTTAGCGAACGTGTGGTTGTGAAGGGATACGATAAAAATATTTTAGCAGCCGCTTGTTAGGATAACAGGTACATATCCAATGTTTACTGAAACCTTTAACATTGTACACTGCTTATTCTCCAAAGAAGTTATTCTTTAAGCGCAGATGAACTTTAGACCTGGAGATTTATTATCACAAACTAAATCTTAGTACACCATGGTTTGATGCTAAGTGCTCAAAATGGTAGACTAACGGAAGCAGGCCAAATTACAGTGGTTGAAAAACCCAAGGCAAATCAGTGGAGACAATCTGCGAAATCTAAGATGTGAAAACAATAGAACATTTAGGGAGAAGAAAAGGGGATACCTAAAAACAAAACATGATCTTGAATCTAATTATAGAAACAGGAATATTAGAGATTTATACAGATTCATAAATGAATTTAGAAAGGTTACCAACCTAGCATTAATGTTTTTGTAAAGTTCATGCTGCCGTTATTGCTAAGGTCTTTTAGTCACAGTGGTCCTAGGTTATGAGTCTAGACATGCGTAGAGTCAAGTCCAAAACATGGAGGTCTTGGCCAGTTTCATCAGGGCTGTAATAGTGAGGAATTGGTCTTCCTCAGGGTGGAAGCGCAGCTCACTGGGCACTGCTAGAATAACTTTCCTTGGCTTATCACAATTAAGGTAGCAAGTATGGCCCAGGCCATCTTCTATCAGGGCATGAGACGTGCGCAAATACACTAGTATTGACAGCGTACAATGAATTGTCAAATACACCGCAAAACGGGAAACTTGCATTTTTCTCATGTTTTCCTGTAAAAATGCAGAATGAAAAAGAATTTAGGATCATTTTATTATTACCTCTCTTCTGATAAGAATCTAGTCTGACTGTTCCTGCATTCTCTGCCTCTTTTAGTTCTGCAAGGAATATCTGTTGATGCGATAGAACAGGTGTTACCGTAATTCGGCAAATTTAATCGATAGCGTGACGTCATACCAATCACAGCGATGCTGAAGCATCACGATTTAAAACGATCTCCGTAATTAATTTATATGAAATATATTTTCAATTAATATTAGATGTCTCCTTAATTTGTAATTTTTTGACGATAAAATTTAAAACAACAATTACGTCATCCTTAATGTCCATGTACATACCACTTTTGGTATTTGCATCTAACAGGAAACATTCCATTCTCACTAATTAATTTATTATCCAGATACATCTGAATGATGAATGTTACCGTAATAAGGCAAATTATGCTTTAAATGACAACTATTTATCAGAAAATCACAAAAAGACTCACCTATGTTTCAAGATGACTTTTGATTCAATTTTGACATCACAGCGATGGTCTAGCATCACGTGAGGCTGTGTCCAAAACCTCTTCTGTGATGTGCCACATTATACAAAATAAAGTCAGAAACAAGCAAAGTAAGGTTAAACACTACTAGCTTACAATCTTTCGCCTAACAAATTTTTAAGCGCATTATTAAGCTGTATCCACCATGCCCCATCCTCTTTCTGGAAACGGATAGCACGAGCAGATTATTTGCATTCCTCTTCTACTCTTCCTTCCTTTTCAGTTTTTTAACAGTTACCAAAGTCTAGAAGTATTCATTTCTATCATCACAACTAATGTAACAAGAGTGGCACAGGCCGTGTTGTTCCAGCCTGTAATGCCATCTTCCGTCAGGACTTGCGAAGTGCGAAAA